GAAGCTTGGGAAACCCTGTCCTAAGAAAGCCTATGGCTGGCTAGGAAGGTAAATCCCAAATTGAAACAAATCTTTGGCCTAATCCTGAATATAATTCAAGAAGATTGCACTCCTCTGGAAGGACAAACACTCATGTAATGATTAGGGTGGGTTTTTTTAATGTTTGTTTTGAGAAGGAGAGAGGGAGTGCGCAGGCATGCCTGGAGGAGGGGCAGAGAGAGAGAGAGAGAGAGAGAGAGAGAGAGAGAGAGAATCCCTAGCAGGCTCCACACTGTCAGCATGGAGCCCGATGCAAGGCTCAAACCCACAAATGGTGAGATCATGACCTGAGCCAAAATCAAAAGTTAGATGCTTAATCAACTGAACTGAGCCACTCGGGCGTCCCAGTGATTAGGGTTTGTGTGTGTGTGTGTGTGTGTGTGTGTGTGTGTGTGTGTGTGTGTGTGTAAGATTTTATTTTTAAGTAATCTCTACACCCAACATGGGGCATGAACCCACAAACCCGAGATCAAGAGTCAGTCGCACACTCTGGTTTACTGACTGAACCAGCCAGATACGCATTGCGGTGATTAAGGTTTGAGCAATTACAATGAAGATAAATTTGGGTTTGGGGCTGAGGGCTCAGGCAGAAGTGGGGGATGATGGAGCTGGGCACATACCAAGGAAGATTCTCCCTTCCTGTCAAAAGCCTCAAGTGCCCCTGGGGAAGGGATTTTTCCCTTGACCAAAGCAAGAGAGCCTGAAGTACCTCCAAAGAGCAGCATGTTGCATTTTGTGGTTTGTTTCTGCAATCAGCTAGGAAATAAAGTCTTCAAATTAAACTTTTCCAGAAAAAAAAGTATTTGAGGGAGGAAAAGAAAGAGACAGATAGATATAATTGTATTAGAGGTTGCTGTGACCCTAAGAAGGTGGCGGCTTCCTGCTTGGTAGGTGGTTCTTCCAGGAACCCAAAGCCCTGGACCCCAACAATGGACACACCAGTAGGTGTCTCACCAGCAGGTGAAGTGTGTGTGTGTGTGTGTGTGTGTGTGTGTGTGTGTGAGAGAGAGAGAGAGAAGTGGAGGGGAAGAGAGAGGAAGAGATAGAGGTGGCCCTTGTCACTGACATTACTGCCTTCTCCCTAACCCCTAGAAAAAAAGAGACAAGTCCACAAGAAAACGTAAGTTTTTGAGAGAAACACCTGCAGAGAAGGTGAGACGCTGCCACAGGAGTCCCCAGTGCTCTGCCCATTAGCCTTTCTGTCCCCACAGGAAGTCTTTCCAGGTGGATCCCTGTGTGGATGATTCCTTCCCCCATGTGGCATAGATCCAAGTGAGAGGCCCTTCAGCCACTGGCATTTCAGCTTCATTATTTCTATTCTGGAGGATTCTTGTTTTGTTTCGTTTGAGGAAGGGCACCACTTTTCACAGTGTCCTGGAAAGTTTATGCTGACAGAAAACTTGAGACAAAAGCAAAGAAGCAGAGTGCGAACCTTCATTCTCTACTTAAAATTTTTTTTAAATTTTTTAATGTTTATTTACTTTTGGGAGAGACAGAGACAGAGACAGAGAGAGGGGGGTACAGAGTATGAGTGGGGGAGGGGCAGAGAGAGAGGAAGATACAGAATCCAAAGCAGCCTACAGGCTCTGAGCTGTCAGCAGAGAGCCTGATGTGGGGCTCAAACTCACGGGACGTGAGATTGTGACCTGAGCTGAAGTTGGATGCTCAACCAACTAAGTCACCCAGGTGCCTCTCTTCTTTTTTTTTTTTTTTTTTTTTAAGTGTTTATTTATTTTAGGACAGAGAGATAGAGTGTGAGTGGGGGGAGGAACAGAGAGAGAGGGAGAGAGAGAGAATCCCAAGCAGGCTCCACACTGTCAGTGCAGAGCCCAACATGGGGTTCAAACTCACGAACCGTAAGCTCATGACCTGAGCCAAAGTCAAGAGTCGGAGGCTCAACCAACTGAGCTACCCAGGTGCCGCCCTCCCCCAAAATTTTTTTAATGTTTACTTTTGATGGGGGAGCTGGGGCAGAGAGAGGGGGACAGAGGATACAAAGCAGGCTCCCCGCTGTGAGCACAGAGCCAGATGTGGGGGCTCAAACTCATGAACTATGAGATCATGACCTGAGCTGCACCCCACAATCTTGGTACTTTTAAAGGGCAAACATCAAAGTGACTCTGGGTGAGAAGATAAAAGGTGAGTGATGCAGAAAGTGAAAACAGAGAGACCTTTAATGGTCAACTGGCACCAAGAGAGAGGCCCTGTCCCTTGCTCAGACAACCCAAGGCCACTATACTGAGGATTACCACCACCACCAACCACAAAAAAAAGAGCACCTCGTGGCTCTAGGGCTAGCTGTGTCCCATCAGACTGGAAGGCCAGGTCTCAGCACAGGATCTCATCAGAGGGTGTTGAGGTTAGAGACTTGACAAGGGAGAAACGGCCTGGTCCCTGCTCTGCCAGCTGACTGGCCCTGGACAAACCACTAACCCTGTCTGGGCCTCTGCTCCCTGGTTTGTGAGAAAGCAAATTAATAGAACATATAGAAGAATTTTGCTTGGCCCTGTTTTCAAGGATATGTATGTAAATTAAATGTGAGTCTCAAGATGTGAGAGGCCAAGGTGAATTAGAGGCTGCCATGATTGTGTCATTGTTGCTGTGGTTATCATTGTCCTGGCGTTTTTCTAATTTCCCCACCTACTACTTTAATTTTTTCAGCAACCCTTTGAAGAAGATGAGGAAGGGCAAATAACTATTATTTCCATCGTACAGGAGAAAGAAGGGCTTACATGCACTGCCAAGGGTTGCCTGGCTGGTTTGTGCAATGAGGCTTTCTGCTAAACCCAGTCCAGCAGAGTTGAATTTCCACATCTTCAAAATGGGTGCTAGTCCAGCTTGGGGTCCTACAGATGAATTGCAAGGAAAGTAAAGGGAGAGGGAGATATGTAGATTCAGAGACCTACAAGACAGATGCATCAGCAGCTAATGGGTAAGAGGGTTCTTTCTGGGGCTGATTAAAATGTTCTAACGCTAGAATACAATCAGAGTTTCACAACTCCATAGTAAAGGTTGATTTGCACACTTTATTTTTTATTTTTTTAAAGATTTATTTATTTATTTATTTAAGTAATCTCTACACCCAACATGGGGTTTGAACTCACAACCCCAAGATCAAGAGTTGCACACTCTTCCAACTGAGCCAGCCAGACACCCCGCTTTGTATACTTTCAGTAGGTGAGTTTTATAGTATGTAAACTATATCTCAACAAAGCTGTTAAGAAAAAGACACATCTGGTTGTTGTTGTTGTTTTTTAATGGGCAAGACTCTTGTGGCCAGGGATGTTTATTTGGGTGCTAACACTATAAAGAAATTTAAGGAAGCGATTACTGTAAACGTCAGATTCCTTTCAGGCAGAGGAAGGACTGTGTGATCAGGACAAGGCACGTGAAGGAGCTTCTGGGGTGGGTAGGAAGGTTTTATTTCTTGACCTAAAGTGTACTTAATAAGGGTGTTTATAATAATTTGTTATATTCCACATGTATTATAGAGTTTTCTTTTATTTACCTTGAGAGTGAGGGGCAGAGAGAGAGAGAGAGAGAGAAAGAATCCCAAGTAGGCTCCACACTGTCAGTGCAGAGCCTAATGTGGGGCTTGAACTCAGGAACCTGTGAGATCAAGACCTGAGCCGAAATCAAGAGTAGGACACTTAACCAACTGAGCCACCCAGGCACCCCTTTTATGGTTTTCTGTATCTGTTGTGTTACATAATAAAATGACTTTTAAAAATAGGGGAAATCAAGAATGAAATGACACCCTATGCTGGCCAGACTGTCAGGTGTCCCCTATGACCCCCCACCTCCTGGTATTCCTGCCCTGTTTAATCCCTTCCCCTCGAGTGTGGGCAGGACTTGCAACTTGTTTTTAACCAACAGAATAAGGCAAAGGCAATAAGATGTATGGGATTATGTGTACGTGATTATATTATACAAGATTTAAAGTCCATCTGGCTAGGAGATGTTCTGTTCCTTGTTGGCTTTGAGGATGTGAGGGGTACACTGCAGAGGCCCATGGGGTGAGGAACTGAGGGTGGTCCCCAGCCAACAGCCAGCAAGAAACTGAGGACCTCAGTCTGACAACCCAAGAGGAACTGAATATTACCAACCACCATGTGAGTCTGGAAGGAGATCCTTCCCCAGTTGAGCCTCAGATGACACCACAGTGCTGGGTCACACCTTGACTGCAGCTTGTGAGACCCCCCCAAGCAGAGGCCTTGTCTCAACGGTGCCCTGACTCCTGGCACAGAAACTGTGCCTCACTCCTCACAGAAACTGTGAGGTGCTGTGTGTTGTTTAAAACCACTGCATTCGTGGCCATGGTATTACACAGCAACTGATAATCTGCCCTGAGTTTGGGGGTCCCTCAAACCACTCTCAGGTTCAGTGATTCACTAGAAGCACCCAGAGAACTCAGCAAAGTGACTGTAGTCTTGGTTACAATTTATTACAGTGAAAGGATACAGATTAAAATCAGCAGTAGTAAAAGGCACAGCACACAGGGCAGGAGCCAAGAGATCAACTATCCTCTCCCTGCGGAGTCACAAGGACAAGGTTAATTCTCCTAGTGACAGTTAGCGACAGTGTGTGGCAATGTACAAAGGGTATTGCTAACCAGGGAAGCTCACCCCAGCCTTGGAGCCCAGGGCTTTTACTGGGGTCAGGCACCCAGGCAGAGTCTCCAGCCCCTCCAGAGGTCAAGGTGATAGCTCCTGGCCCGAGGCCCTCAGGTAAACAGACACTCTTATCAGAAGGATATCCCAAGGGCTTAGGGGTTACCTCCCAGGAGCCGGTCAAGGGTCAATGCTTTCTGGGGAATGTGCAGTTTCAATGTCCCAAGCCTACAGTTAGCCCTTTGCTGCTCACCCATTAACTCTGGAAGTGGGATCTTTGGGAAGTTGCCAGCTGCTTGAAATCAGAGGGAGAAACCGGGAGATCACCATGTTTTAAGACCCAGGGAACCTTTACACCTTTACTGGCCTTATAGTCAGAGCATTTCCAGGATTTAAGCCATACAGCCAGAAGGCAGGGTGCAGAGGGGAGGAGGCAGAGACGGGGCACTCGTACAGAAGTGTCTCCTGATTGGCCACCGAATAGAAGGCAAGTTTGCCCTCTTCCAGGTCCAGCCAGATGCCCACCACCTTAGGTCTGTCAGAGCCCAGGATGGTTTCCTTGACCATGTGCCATGCAGAGAGCTGGCCAGTCCCCTTCCACTCTACACACCAGGAGTCTTCGGTCCTTCCTAGGGTCTGGTTGCGCCTCATTCCCCAGGAGGCCACCCCAACTGCCCAGTTGTTGCAGTGCTGAGTGTCTACTTCCCAGTACTGCTGCCCTGAAGAAAAGGCCTGGGAACATAAGACCTGGCAGGTCACAAACCTCTCGTGACTCCAGAGATGGGTCTGCGGGCAGCGAGATACAGTCACCACCCGGCAGTCCTCAGACACCTCCAGACTACAGCAGTGGCTCCGAAGGTCAAAGGTCGGACTGATGGCCCCTGAGGAAAAGAACAAGGTTATGATTAGCTCTCACCCTAAGAGCAAAATATAGCTTTGTAGCTTTTTTTTTCTTTATTTATTTTTAAGAAAGAGAGAGAGAGAAAGAGACAAAGTGTGATTTGGGAAGGGGCAGAGAGAGAGGAGGAGACACAGAATCAGAAGCAGGCTCCAGGGTCTGAGCTGTCAGCACAAAGCCCAATGTGGGGCTCGAATTCCAGAACGGCGAGATCATGACCTGAGCCGAAGTTGGACGCCCAACCGACTGAGCCACCCAGAGGCTTTGTATCTTTGAGTGTGATAAAGTTTACTTACACTGGCATTAAAACTGGTACGTCAATTTGCAGTCTTCTATCATGGTTCTAGTAACAATCCCCCCTTCCCATCTTAACTTTTATTTCCCCACTTTAGCCTGGAATTTGGGAGTCTTCATCCCTTTTGTCTTTGTAATCAGCTCCCCTTTGAGCCAAAAACAGGCCCAGCAGCTGGGAGGTGGACTGGCAGACCCCCAAGTTTTGTTTTCTTTTGTTTTGTTTTGTTTTTTGTTTTGTTTTGTGTTGTGTTGCTTAATTCTTTTTTGAAAGAGAGGGAGGGAGCCCAAGTAGAGGAGAGGGGTGGAGAGAGAGAGAATCCTAAGCAGGCTCCACTCTGGGCACAGAGCCCAACACAGAACACGGGGCTCGATCCCACAACCCTGGGATTGTGACCTGAGCCAAAATCAGGTCAGGTCGGACACTCCACTGACCAAGGCCACCCAGGCGCCCCAGGGCAAAGCCAAGTTTTAAGCAGACTACATACTTACACTGAGCAAACCGGGAGGTCCTCGTGGGGGCAGGGTGACTGTGGTCAGGCAGCGGGCATGCAGAGGAAGATGGACCTTCTTGGAGTTCCACTAAGGAATCAAAACATTGGGAAGGGGAAAAAGTCTTATCAAAAAAAAAAAAAAAAAAGGCAAATAGAAGTATTCAAACATTGTGATCAGGGCACACAGCTTTTTTGTAGTGTCAGACTTGAATCAGACAGGACATCCAGCTCAGGTATTGATGTGGAAATGGTGGGGTTCAGAGCGAACGGTCAGGAAAGAATTCTTGAGACATTTTCAGTGCAAAAAGGTAGTTTCATTAAAGCTCGGGGACAGGACCCGTGGGCAGAAAGAGCTGTACGTGGGTTGTGAGGGGTGGCCGACTATATACCTTCAAGTTGGGAGGGGGTCAGGGATAGAGTAAGTCTCTAAGGAATTTTGGAAGCAAGGTTTGCAGGACCTTGAGGGGGCTAGCTGTTGTTAGGAAAAAGTCATTTATTACTGTCTAATAAAACCTCAGTCATGAAACCCTTCAGATGTGTATCATGATCCTTATGCTTGGAGGATGACTGCTAACATATAATTGGGGGGACAGAGATAAAGGAGGTTTCCAAAGGAATGTTAAATGTCCCATATGTTAAAGTAGACTGATAGGCTCCTGGAGGGTTGGGATAATGTTAAGCTAAGACTGCCTTTTGCCCCTAGCAAAGTGTCAGCATGGAGGCAGCTGAACTCCCAGAGGAAGGTCACTATGCTTGTTTCAAGGACTTGTCAGTGGGCTGTAAGTTACCTTTGTTTCCCAAATCATTAAAAAAAAAATCTTTTTTCAATGTTTATTTATTTTTGAGAGAGAGAGAGAGAGACAGAGCACAAGCAGGGGAGGGGCAGAGAGAAAGAGAGACACAGAATCAGAAGCAGGCTCTAGGCTCTGAGCTGTCAGCACAGAGCCCGACGCCAGGCTCGAACTCACAGACTGTGAGATCATGACCTGAGCTGAAGTTGGATGCTTAACCGACTGAGCCACCCAGGCGCCCCATGTTTCCCACATCCTTATGTTCAGCCCCATGTTCTCACGGTGAGCTTTTTTTACTGCCTGTTTCCCTGGTAAGATTTAAGCTCCTTGCTGGTGTGAGAAGTAAGGGAGATGATTCATTTTCAGAAACACCAAATAAAAGCTGTGCTGTCTCATTAAAATAGGTTTACAACCTATTGGAAATATGTATGACCTCCCTCCCCA